GCATGCGGGGGAGAAAGGAGAGATTATTCGAAATCGAAAAAGCGATGGTGACAAACTTAAGAGATACAGCTGAAAGAGAAGATCGTAATGTTAGCTCAGGCGCAGGAAACCATTTCTGTGATGACAAATCAATTGAATGACGTCAGACGTTCTCCCTACGAAAATCTTAAGCGACTGGAATACGAACTTAGTCAAGGAATTAGCTTGCCAAACACAAAAACAGGAATTACCTTCCCATCGAGATCGCCAGAGGTTTAAATTATCTTCACCTCAAAGAGGCGCTTCCCATTGTTCACGGGGACATCAGCAGCACCAACGTGTTGCTATGCAGACGTGGAGTGCTAAGTTGTCGGATTAAGGATTAGCCAATTTTGTGCGTCAGCTTAGGAAAGTAAACCCAGGTGCAAGAATTTACGCTGCACCTGAAGCTAGGACGTCCAAGTCCGCAAAAAAGGTTAGAGGTCTTCTTATTTCAATTACTCAGTTGCAGGCGCTGGAATTTCCTACCTCTTCACATCTTGTTTGCAAAGTGAGAAACAGCTGAATAACTTTTGAGTCAAGGTATTTGAACAAACAAATTTAACACGTGTATGTAAATGCGCCAAGATGGCAGCAGGCTTTTGGAACTTGCTCTGCCTTATAGGGGTCTATAATCAACTTATTCCAAGGTCTCAGCCTCCCATTACCAAATTGCAAAGCAATAAGAACTTCTACTACCTATTGAGCATCAATGGGGAATCCATTGCGCTTGGTACACGGAATTTTCCTCCATTTCCTGGCCTACTTTTCAGGCCGTCATTGAAGCGCATCGAGTCGACAGTCAATGCAATCAACTACTCGATTTCAAAAATCAGCAAACATGGAAGCACAGTGCTCATACTTCCTGGTCGTTTATTCTGGCTAGACCTCACGATCTACATGGATATTCAATGCAACCCAGGACCAGAAAGGTTGGAAAACTCTCAAATAAACCATCTGCAGCCATCGGATAACAGCTCCCGAAATTTGAATAATCGTGCTTCAAACGCCATTAAGTATTCAAGATCTGAGCTACTACAACTGCGGTTACGGCAATTTAAAATCCCGGACGAAACTTTCCATTTGCGGAAAAGAAATGGAATATTAAGAACACGAGGAGTTCGCTCTGGTCAGGCTTTCCGAAACCGTAAACATAATATTGCAATCTCTCATGTTCAGCGGAGACCTGACAACACAACGGCCTGGCGAGAGAGGAGTAAATTTGCAGAACCTGTGCTCAATAAAGCGCGTTAAAGAAAACAAACAACCTTCCAAAGCGCCCGGTGGGCTTGAAATCCTTCATTTGAATATTAGATCGCTAAAAAATCGCGCTCACTTGCTAGAACTACGACAACTTGCATCTGAAAGGAAAAGCGACATTATTACTATCTCTGAAACATGGCTCAATACCACCGTCACTTCAGAAGAGATACAAATCGAGGGTTATAAATTACACAGGTTAGATCGACTTCACAAAGGAGGCGGCGGGGTATGTGCCTATGTCCGCAAAGATCTCAAATCATCTGTACTGAAGGAGTTGTCATCGATATCCGAGCGAAATTTCCATCAGCTTTGGTTAAATGTCCAGTGCAAGAAACTAAAATCAACAATAATTTGCGTGACATATCGCCCCGATGACTCTCCTCTGTGTTCCTTCGAAGAAGTACTTAAGCCCAGCTGCTTGCTGCTGCTTGACAAACCGATCACAATCTTAGGCGACCTAAACTGCGATGGCCTCAAGAAAACAGGTACTGAATACAAAGCATTGGAGAAATTCTGTACGGATATGAACTTGAAACAATTCATTACAAAACCAACCAGGATAACAGTGACCACTCAATCCCTGCTCAACGTTATCCTAGTCTCCTCCAACAATTCAGTGCTTGTTAGCGGCATAATACATCGACCAATTAGTGACCATTCAATTGTTTTCGTCAAGCTCAAAGTTAAGAAACCCAAGATTACCCCTCAGTACATTACCACTCGAAGTTACAAGAAGTATAATGCGGATCTCTTTGTCACGGATCTAGCTAAGGAAGCGGATTCCCTGCTCACTATCTTCGATCAAACCGATGTAGAATCTGAGCTCAATATTTTAAATGACACTTTGCAGTCTGTCCTGAGCTTGCACGCTCCCGTGAAACAAATTAAACTTCGGAGTAGACCGTGCCCCTTTGTGAACCAGGAAATCAAGGATCTTATGAGATCACGAGATCTCCTCCTGAAGCAATTCATACAGTCTCGCCAAGACACCGAGTGGATAAATTTCAAACATTCCCGTGACTTGGTCAAGAAACAGCTACAAGAAGCTGAAAGAGATCACACCTTTGAAGAGGTCACAGCTAATAAAAACAACTCTGGCTCACTCTGGAAAATTATTAATCGCGCCATCCCCTCCAAAGATAAGCAGAGACCAGCCTTTACAAAGAATGTGGCAGTCTTAACCAACGAATTCAATCAGTTTTTTGCTAAAGTCGGCTTAAATGCCGCTGACGCAGGACAGCGCTTGAGGGAAAACATCATAGTCCGAGATTTTTCATCCGAAAATGGCATAGATACTACCTCTATGGAATTATTCAATTTACGGACAGTGTCACTTGAAGAGGTTCGCCGAATTGTAACATCTCTCCCAATGAATAAATCTCTGGGACCTGACAAGATCAGCGCTTGTGTACTAAAAGACTGTCTCCATGTGATATTGGGCCCTCTTACTGACATCATCAATTGTTCTATCCTTACTAGCACATTTCCAGACAACTGGAAAGAGGCTGAGGTGATTCCGATTCTTAAAGACGGTGACCATGAAAAAGCTGCCAACAAAAGACCGTTATCTCTGCTAGCCGTAGCCTCAAAGCTAGTCATGTCATTTCCTCTCGTTGAGCTTGATGCTGCCATTGAAAAGCTCGAACAAGATCTTCACATTGTAGCTCAATGGTGCTGTGAGAACCATCTACTTGTCAATCCCGATAAAACTAAACTCCTTTTCCTCGGTACCAGACAGATGCTAAGCAGGTTACCAGAAGACCCTGAAGTGGTATTCTTGGGTAAAACACTGAAGCCAACAGACTCTGCCAAGGACTTGGGAGTCTTTCTTGACCCCCATCTGACCTACGATCACCATATTTCATGTGTAATTTCATCTCGTTTCGCAAAGCTTTGCCAAATAAATAGAGTCAAGAGGAGCTTCGACCAGGAAACACTAGAGTTGTTAATAACGTCATAAGTCTTTAGTAAGATGCTTTACTGCTCATCTGTATGGTCAAATACCACACTCCAGAATATAAACAGATTACAATCTATTCAGAATTTTGCCAGCAAGATCGTAACAAACTCTGACCACGTAACACCTTTGCTTCGTGAGCTAAATTGGCTTCCTGTTAAAGAACAATTATTCTATTGAGACTCCGTTCTGACCTTTAAATGTCAGAACGATCTTGCGCCTCAATACTTAACGAGCAAGTTTACCAAACGCTCAAATATACATACTCGTAACACTCTTACGCGGAACTCTTTGCTGATTCCGCTTTACAGAACGGCTATAGGCCAGCGCACATTTTCCTACAGAGGGGCCAACATATGGAATAACTTGCATAATGAACTTAGGCAAAGTGCCTCATTAGCATCTTTCAAGCGCGCCCTGAAAGGCACACTATTGAGGCAGACATTTCCTTCATAAGCTCTAGAATTTAATTTAGTAGAATACCATCATAAACTGTGATTTCGAGTTTTATTGTCATTTTTGCTTTTATAAATTGCAAAGAGTTTGTAAATAGTTCCTGAAAAACCTCACGAGGATGTTACTATTAAAGTTATTATTATTATTAACACTCCGGCCACCTCTAAACTTAAAGAATTAAGCGCAATGAGAATATCGCGTCGCATTGAAAGCAATGCGTTCCTCGCGCATTTGCCACAATCCCTGGCACCTTTCATCACATTGAAATCATAGGGTGCATTTCAGTCCCTTTGCGTTTTGCAAGGTAATAAAGACGCGGGCTCTATCGTGTTTATATTCATTCACAGAATGGTAACCTTTTTTCCTATTCAATCGCTCCGACGAAGGGTTACTGACACTCGAAACGTCAGCCTTTTAAACTCTTTAGGGTGGCCAATTTACGTTTTCAACTCAGTTGATAACACTAAATTACCCTGCCTTTCAGCTTACTTGCACAATCAACAGTAACAAAAATTATTACTACTTTGATTTTGTCCTTCAGTAGGTCGAAGTTTACAGTTATGGTGTTGTATTGTACAAGATGTGCACCAGGAAATTCCCAAATCCCGAGCGTCGCCACAATCAAATCAGGCTGGTAACCAACACTTCCCTGAAAAAGCTGATAAACAGATGTACGATGACAGCTCCGGATCAAAGCCCAGTTATGAGTGACATTTTCAGTGAGTTGGAGAGATTAAGGGAGAATTCAGGTGTCATCTCCATGGTGAGAAATGTTCTCAGAAGATAAAGGAGTAAGAATTTGCCCGGATGGTTTTCAACACCGTGAGTCTAGAAAAGATATAAATGAGTCTAGAGTGAGTCGTCTTCCTGTTTCAACAATGTATCATTTTTTGAAATAAGTGCAAGTTGTGCAATAGAAGATATTAGCAGAGGTGCCCGTACAGTGATCAGTAATCTCAATAGATCTCTTTTTTCCTGACATTTTCTTTGCGTCATGAATGATAGGACAAGGTTTGCGTCGTGAGAGATTCTAGGATGGTCTTTGGTTTGTAATGAACCTCTGACCAAAAATTTGCCTATTTTTTTTCGCGTTTGAATGAAACTCGCGAAGATTACGAAAATATAGTACTAGTCTCTGAATCAGTTTGAATTAACTTCAAGTTTTTAAGAATAATAGACATGACTGCGTGGTTGTGAGGGTGAAATGTGAGAGTGAATGGAATGCGATTTTTCTTTTGTGCCCTTCTTAGTGCTGACTGTCGATCAATTTGTTGGGCGCGGTGGTAGCCCGCTTGAACGACAGAAAGAGGATAGCCAAATTTATCGAAAAACTGGCACATTGCCTCTACATAAACGAAGAAGTCTGAGAAATTGCGAAAAACGAGTGGAATTCTCGACTAGTGATGGATGCGAAGATGAATGCAAAATATAACTATGTAAAGCTGTAGGTTTGTAGTAAACACTTGTGCATAGACCGTTTCCCTCAATTGAAATTTTTAACGTCTAGTAAAGCCAAAAAAGTGACGGAAATTTCCCGGGTATTATTTAAAGCCGGGTGAAAGGAATTTACAGCGGTTATAAATTGAGTTTAAAAAAATCGTGCGCTGACCCGCAATAGCTACTAAAACGTAGGTGTAATCTTATGGTAACTCCTGGAAGTGATTTTTCGTGATTAAGCCATTTCGAATAAACATACTGGGTGATCTGGGGACGAGATCGGTACTAGGAGACCAGTTTTTAAACAGCGCCAGGGAAGACTCCGGAAAATTGCGTTGTCAATTATTTTTAGCGTGGACCGAGTCGGGGTATGATAGTTTAGGCTTTACTTCCCAAACTGCATATTTGTCCTTCCTCTCACTTCGTTTGATTAAATTGGACCGAAAAATCATAACTATAGACACAACTGTAACAATAAGTTATGACAAAACGCTAAGACACTATGGTTTCGTATTTCCTGGTTGATTAGGTTCATTTAAAGACTTTCAGTATGTTCAGTTAGCTATATCATAGACCCTTCAAGTCAATCGTTAGCAATTTATTTCCAAATCCATACGACAAAGAACATTGTCAACTTCATGGAATAATCAGTCAGGCATTACCAAAAGCGATGACTCAAGATCAGTAGTGGGAAAAGGGGAGTAATGTTGAGTTCTATTAACTGGTTATCGGCCCCTTGAATTGTTCAATGTAATTTTGTTTTTGTTTTCCCCTAAGCGGATATTTCTTCGGGATGACTGTTGTAATGTAGCCTTAATTAGGAAGTTTTTCCGTTCCCTGTTCTTTCCGTCTCCAAAACAGCCCACCCTCAGAGGTTTTAAAGCATATCACTGGACAGAGCATCACATTAGCTGCCCTGAAGTCTACAGCAGTAAGTGCTTGCGACAGCCTCTTGTAGGGTTGGAACACACTCGAACTAATAAAATCTCTTGCAACCCTCGTATTTAATAATAAAAAAGTTTAATCTGCTGTAACGAGGAAATGAATGCTATAATTCATTCTTTTACTTACTTTTCTCTGCTGGTCGGATAAAAGTTAGCAACAAATTCTCGAGGATGATGCCTGTATTAGGGCTACTGTGCTGATGGTGGAAGTCTTCTGTGATTGTACTGTTTTGTTCTGTCTAGACGCTTTTACACATGAACTGTGTACATGTCACAACTCTCTTTGTGTTTAACAGAGCAGAAAAAATTTTGTTTATAATAGTCATATTTACAATTATTTCTGTTATCCTTTTTCAAATCGCCAGAATAAATATAGTTAACTATAAAGAGCTGAAAGATTGCATCATAATTAAAACATTTGAACCTAAATAAACTAGAATTTGATTGGAGGTATGTTTTTTTTTAAAGTGGGGCAAATTGCAGCTAAAAAGCCTTGACAATCCACGCCCATTTTCTTGGTTTCTTAATTTTGATTTAAATTTTGTAGTATTTATATTACATTATCTATATCACAGGGAGTACCTTTTCTTTGTTTCCTTTCCTCTTTTTATGGAAGAAATCAAAATCACCACGAAAAACGCCAACGTTTTCGTGGTAAAGGGCAAATCGAAATTCCGATTTGCCCTAGATTGCAGTAGTCCACCTAATATCGAATTCAATACCACCTGGCAAGACTATCAACGAGCTACAGAAAAGACGCATATATAAGTTGGAATGATTCTGGGAACATGAGGAAGTTTTTTGGGGAAACTGGATTGAAATTTCAAATGTGGCAGGTCATTTTAAATTCCGCGGGGAAGTTATGTTGTGAAACCTGACTATAACCCATGAGATATAAAATCAGGGCAAATATTTACATATTCAAATTTATTGAAAATTCTGTTACGGTTAAAGCCTACATGTAAGAACGTCAGATTTTAAGAACAGACTGTGCACACAGTTTTTCTCCAATTGAGAAAACAGGCAGAACAGATTTTTAAAACGGTTCTTAATCACAGCCTACTTCTGTTCACTGCCATCTTATCCATGCAATTAGCTGTAATCGAACTAAATATTTCATAGTGATAGGTTTAATGCTGTCATTAAAAACAAACTTTTTTGTAGCTTATTTGTCCTACTTGTTTCTGAATTGACTTATTTGTTGCACCTTACCGCATTATTTTTTTTCTTATGGCTTTGTTCTATATAAGAGCAGATCTATGTAAAGTAAAATATCAAAGTAACATCACTCGTTGAGTAACCTGCATCAAGATGCCACAGCAACAAAACGCCGTAAAAATTGTAGGATCTGCTTGAATGACTTTTTCAATATCGAGAATAACTCAGCTTTAATTGCTGGAGCTATCCATCATTATTAATATATTCAAGGTGCCATTAAATTAGCAAAACATTTATCTCTTATCCCTCAGCAAGTTTTTCTGCAATAAAAAGAAGCCAGGATCTAAACTCTGGTTTGACAGAGTGTTTGCAGCGTTTCAAGGAGTTGAAAAATAAAAAATTAAAAAAGAAATTCATTTCCACATCTTGCACAAATCTCTCTCAGAGTGTGGAATCCCATTTCAGTTTGCTCTTCACAAAAAGCGCACCATTTCAATGTGTGTGTTACTGATGTGTTTAAGTTATAATTCATTAAAAGTATGCGGAATCAGGATTGATTAGCTACGTCTGAAGTACTACTGCTATCGTGAGTTAGAATCTCAACCCGAAATCAGTCGATGATAGCATTGGAATGAAACAAATACCTAGTCCTTGCTTGTTGAATATGATTCAACTGTCTTCAGCCCCGACCAGTGAGCAGTACATTCTATATAAAACATAAAATTATTCTTTGCTTATCTGATAGGAATTAAAAATTCAAAAGCTCCTGGACCCAGTTATCTATTGTTGAAAAGTCGATAAAGTTTCTGCAAATTAAAAACTAGAACAATTCCATTCAGGCTGTTTAGAGCCATCTTATAAAGGAAAAACGTTTATATAAAGCTGTTCCCACGTTCGTTCCTGCGAAAATCACAACACGCCACACTCCGAATTCATCACGTATCCCAAATCGAAAGACATCTAAAAACCCGTGTCATCTAATGAACTAGAGAACAAGCTTCGACGAAT